CGTCAGTAGTCTCTCTCACTTCCGATGTACCCTGATTGGTCTTCATCTCCAATAGTTTCTTCATCATTTCTTCCATAGCCGCGAACCTCCCTTCCAACCTATCATTGTTGGTGGAGATTTCCAGGAACTTTCCCTCCAGATCTGTCTTCAGTTGACCGAACTCGCCTTCTAATACTTCCACCTTCTTTCCGGCCATTTTTCTTCTATCGGATCCACAAAAATCTTCTTCCGGAGACGAAGATCTTGCTGAAATTTCAGAATTTCAGCCGCCGGTGGTCCCGAATCGACGCTCTGATACCAATTTGATAGGAAGCGCTTGTATTCACAAGCAACCTATCCAAAATCGGCGAACCAACAGCAGCCAAATGGCTGTCCACAGCAGGAAAACAGCACTTGTTCGGGAAAATACGAGAGAAAACTCAAGAAAAGACTTGTATTCCACTTAGACGATGAATAAAAGAGCAAGATACAATTGATCCTCAATTCGAGAGGAGGATCGATCTCTCCCAAATCTCTAGACGCCGCTAGAGCCCAAAGAAAACCTAAATCTACGAGATCTCAAATTTCAGCCAAATTCAAGATGCCCAAACCCTAGGAAAATCTACTATTTAATGCATACAAATCAAAAGGAAATCCCTAAACAGTCCCTACATTCAAATTTCCCTCTCAAAACGCTAAAAAACGCTTCCTAAAATGATCTCTTCGGCTGGTCGGGCCGCTCGATCTCCGCAGGAGGCGGAGATCACGCGACATTTCGCGTCTGAGCCGGTCCTGTGCGGACCGGCTGGACCGGTCCAGTGGACCGGTCTAACAGGTCTCCAAATATCATTATGTAGGATAGAAAAGGAATAATGATTTTTATCTTACTTATTAGAAAATTGATATATTTTGTATTTTGTTAGCGCACAAATATCTTAATGAAATTTTCCGCTATTAATTTCTTTGAATGATGAAGGAAATACAATTTTGAGAACAAGAAATGATGGGGTGGCAAGGCGTTGGTGTTGAGACCAATATTTAGTGCTATTTGATTTAAGGGATTTTTTTTTTAATTATTGGCTTGCTCCAAGTGGTAGAGTTCATCATTTTCTTTAGCAAGTTTAATCCTCCTCCTCATTCCCTATTCCCAAAAGACACAATATGAAGGATGAAACACAATACTATATTTTGTATGGATACCAAATTGGTACTAATTTAGGTTCGTAGAAGACATTTTTTGGGGTGTGAGGGATTTGTTTATAAGAATATTTGCTTGATTTTCCATAGTGTTCAAAGATCTATCAGCCATGATTTTCTTATTGGCAGGACAATGGGGTATATGAAATAAATTCATGAGAGGAGTTGAAAACTTCTGAATCAAGGAATCAAGAGCTGAAAATGGATAACTTTGGGACTTTAAAGGTATTAGAATGGGAGGTAACAGTTGATAATGCTAGAGTACAAGTACCTATCATAGATATCTTTGCAGGTGCTCCTAACAAGCCTTCTTGTCTTTTCATGCCTTACAAAAATTGCAATTTTCTTCTTTCCTTTAAAAACTTGTGAACCTACCATGAACACTTTCGATAATTCTTTTCATTTAATTAGTATGTTAAATAGATGTTTTGCTTCTCTTTTGTTGCATTTAGATTGCATCCCTTCATTTGATGAGAACCTGAGACCAATGAAATGTGGGTATTTGTATCGTTGTCAATGAAGAGAGAAATTTTGCTTTTGAAGAGAAAAACTGTGATTTTTTTTCAGAAAAATAGAGAAGGAAAGAAATGTAGTAATGCAATGATTAATGAAGCAACAAGGGGACCGATTAATGGCAGTGGGATGATGAAGGTGACAAAATAGGAAATGTTTGCAGCAATTTAATGATGAAGGCTGCAATTTTAGAAAAAATTTAGAAGAGGAAAGAGAACTAGAACAATGAAGGCTTGCAAGTTCTAGGCAATACAACAATTAAGATTGCAGCTTATGAAAATGCTATGAAAAGTTCAAGGCTTTGATACCATGACAATTATTTGAATTTAGAGAGAATTCATTGATTGTTTCATTCAAACATTTGTGTAGTATTAACACAATTCTAGTAGATTTCTAATAGGAATCATATAAAATCAGAGAATAATAATTATAGAATAATTGTAAAAATCTATGGATTGATAAGATGATTTTAATAATACCATATATCATTTAGGTGGCATGATGTGAATGAGGAATGTTGAGGATTATTGTGCCCAGTGGAGCATTGATGGATGTTGATTTTTCTATTACAATAGTTTCGATAATTTTTATTCATGAATTCATTTCTATTACAAGGCTAAACCCACTTACATTGATCTCACAACACATCCTAAATTGTTTTAAGGCTATGAAGGAATGAGATCATGTGTCTTTAATTACAACAACATAAACAAACTAAACACAGTTAAACATGAAACGTATTTAAAATATGCATAGAACAAATGAATACATGCTTAAAATGGATATAAAAGAGAATCCGTGGCCAGATTACAGTGCATCACTTTGTCTTGTCCCTTTGCCAGGAAAGAGGAGCTATAAGTTAATGTATACATCATACTCCTATTTCATTGGCTTTATTGCCTGATGAATGATGGAAATGTGTTGGGCGTAAGAATTTTGGCCTTGAAGATCTATCCTAGTACGGTTGTCCTATAATTGGGATGAACTATTCCCCTTAATTGATTTTGGTAGGCATCATTTTCTCTCTGGAAATGGCTTGTCCAATACTTACGTGGACTAGACTTACAGCTTTTGGCCCAAAAGTAGCATGAATAGAACTTGTGCATCAAAGTTAATATTTCATTTCGCACAAAATAGATGTAGGATTCAATAAAGGCAACCTCTAGTTTGGAAAAGACAAATGATGGCGATTTGTTTTCTTCTACTCTGCACATATATCAATTGCAGTAATCATAATTTATAACTTTTAAGTTGGTTGAGTTACTTGTCTCTCTGGTTCCTCTAATGTGCATGATTGTTGACATGAATGTATTATATCTTAATTTTTTTTGGCTTTTCTATGTTTACAACATTGCTTGGGCTGTCTTGAAAAATTTACATATGATAATATTGTGCTTGGTTTATTATAGCTATTCTAGTTTTCTGCGGTAAAGATTTAAATATTAAAAATATTGGCATTTATTGTTCATCTTATCGACCTTGAAAATCCATTTCTGGTTGAATTTTTTATGTCTGTATAATTACAATGCTCTGATGCGTAAAGCCTGCAACATATTTTGTTTGGTTCTTTACAGGTGGTACAAAGTGCGTGTTCTGTACTAATGGTAAGATGAAACAAGAAACTGGCTTGGTTGATTGTCGTGCATGTAAAGGTGCAGGTATACAATTCTTATTGGCTATTGTACTTGATTAGTTGTTGAAAATTTATTTTAAGCTTATATAAATTCTAGCTGTTATAATCTTTAACCACCAAAAGATGCTTTGAATTAAAAAAAAAAAAAATGCTTTTAGCTGTTTAAATAATTTATTAAGCCAAGTGAGACCTATGAAACTTGCTGTAAATGCAATATATGCTTAAGTATGATGAGGTTAGATTAGTTTTCCAACTGATCTTTAATAACATTCTTTGTCGACTTTGGTTCATTCATCATTATCTAATTTTTGGCTTGGTTCTGTTGGAGCATATTTATTTCTCTTAATAGGCCTATGATATATGATATTCCTTTTTCTAATAGAGCCACTTCTATGTCAAAGAAGTATTTAAGTTTGACAAATTCTTTGATTTGAATTATGCAATGAGATTTATTTTTAAGCGATTCTTTTTCTTCATCATCATCATCATTGTAATAATTATATTATCAATATATACAATAAGAATTGCTATTTTTTCTTAAATTTGAGTGATTTATAAAATGTATGGTCTGATTGGTTCATTTATATCTCAATTCATTATGTCTTTTATTAATTTTTCAAACCATGCCCGTTGAGATTGCTTTAACCATAATTTTTCCTTGTTTAGTTTGCATACCTAATTTTTGGAAAAAGAGTTGTTGAATTTTAGTAGAGGATCCATAAAATCTTCTTCTACATCTCCATGAAAAAATCATTCTTTATATTATATTCTTGCATGAATCATTCGAAGTTGACAACCAAAGATATTATGGTATGAATCATATCCATTTGCGATTGGAGAAAATATCACATGCTAGTCAAATCCATAGGATTGGACGTAACTTTTGCTACTAATTTCACCATTTTTATTCATAGGCTTCCATTAGTTTTGTATTTTGTATTTGTTAAAATTAGCTTTTATCCTATATAATTCACTCAACTATCTCTTGAATATGTTTTTTTTCTTAGTGCATTAATCTCTTCTAAAATGGATTTTTCCCAATTCTTGTTTTTTGACGCCTCAAATAGGTTAGGAAAGTTTATTGTTATTGAGATTTTTTAGGATGACTTTATATATAGGAGAAAATTTATTGAAGGATATGTATTGTGTTATGTGGTATATGAGATGTTGAATACATGTTCTTGCATCTTTTTGTTTGAAATAGGTTGCGATTGATGTATAACATTGCTAGGAGAGGTAGAAATGTTATCTAATATGAGTTCTGAGTTTTGAACTTGCGAAAAAGTTTGGATGACCTTTGTGCTCTTTATATAATCTAGAGGGTTTAGTAATTAGGGCATTAATCTTAGTGAGATCAAGCTATTATTGTTCTTGTATTATTAATAGAGCATTCAAGGGAGAAAATATCATGCTTCTAGTCACACTTATCTTCTATTTGACTATTCTCCCCTCAAAGATAAGTCTAATCAAGGAATGATTGTTTTTTTTTTTTAAATATGACCTCTTTTGAATTGAGGATTTTTTCGTGATTGGATGAGCATTTATACCCTTTCGAGTTTAGGAATATTCTAAGTAAATACACTTAAGGGATCCAATTTACGTCACTGATGTTTATAAAAGAGTATATAAGACAATCGAATATTACATGAGGAATTTTTGTGAAGAAATTATTTTTAGGAAAAAATCTGTGATTAATGAAGTTTTTGAAATCAATACTTTAGAAAGTATTCTATTAATCAAATATGCCAATTTTAGGATGCTTCTCCATAATATATTTTGGGAACTTGGTTTTGGAAGAGAAGTGTCCTATTAATCTCAAGAAGATGGTTAAATTTCCTTTCTATCACTCTATTCTATTTTATAGAGTTGAGAAAAGATGATTGGTGAATAATGGTTTCTTTATGAAAGAAATGAGACAATATTTGATTAAAATAATCTCATGTAGTATATGTCCTATGTTTTTAATATATAACCAAATTGATTTTTTATCATATAGACAAAGTATGAGAATATGACTGATATTAAATTTTGTTTGATATAATATATCCATGTCAACCTAGTACAGACCTTGATAAATATTATAAATCTTTTGGTTCTAGTGATATTAGGGATTTTTTCAGGGTAATTAAATATTAGAGTGGACTAACTTGAAAGGTGTTGGCGATCCTGATTTACTTAAAAGGAAAGATATCCTATAATGTTTTACAATAGAAGGTGTTGGTAATCTCATACGTTTTGCAATAAAATTTTCAATATCAACATCTCATAACAAAGAAGGAAGCATTCATTCTAGAATTTTAAGACATTTTTTAATTTGTAATGATGGTCCCAAATAACATTTTTATTTGAAATACTTGTAAATGAGAATGATGAATGATTTTTATGATCATTGTTGTTTTAAAGTAGCTATAGTTCATCCTTTTATCTACTCTGCATATTCATTTTCCTCGTAATTAGGCCTTGAAAAACAAATGATCAATAAAGAATGACATCATGTAGTTTTAATCTTGGGGTAACTTAATGAGCAGACATGTAGTACATTGAGAATAAGCGAAGGAGAAATAAGTAAAGAAGCCATTTTTCTATTGCTGGGGAGAGGCTGGATAGGTTGGGAAGATATTGACTAATTTGTCATGTGGTATGTGGCATCTTAGTTGAGTACCCTAGTATTAGATGAATTATTTGAGTCATTGGTAACACAAAGATTGAAAGTTTTTACTATTTTGAGCTAAAGAACATAGACTAGATGGCTTTTTCAGGGGGTTGAGAAAGTTTCTTAGGTTGTCTATTTCTTTTGAGTTGAGCTCTCTAATTTTTGTGAAATAAGCATGTACTTTTGATTGACTTTATTTGTATCCACCTCAGCCTTAAGGTCTTTCATGGATTTTCCAACAACTTTCTTTAGTATACTCCTTTTTCTTAAAGTAGTTGCACCATAGTTTTCCTTTTTGGTTGAACTTTTTTCCCATGATTTTTGGAATGGTCTGTAACAATCAGTTCTCTACCTCGAGTCTTTGTGGGTTACCATAGTTTTCCTTGGGCACACATGATGGTTTACTCTCTTTTGAAGAAGTTAGAACTCTCTAACTTGGAGTAGAAAGGCAGGAATTAGACTAAAACATAAGTTGAAAATTGTGACCCTAATCTAAAGCTTTGATGTCATGTATGAAATAGAAGGAAGTCAAGCTTGATTGTTTCATTAATCATGCAAAGAGTACTTCTACATTATGTACGAGAAAATTATCAAAATGGTTCCTTTACTCTATATGAAAGATTAAAATGGTACCAAATTATATTAAAGGACCATTTTGGTGTCTCAAGTCCTTTAAAAGGAACCAAAATAGTTTTATGGTGGGACTATTTTGATTCCTCTTTAAAGAGTTGAAGGACCAAAATGGTCCTATAATATAATTGGTGACCTTTGATTCTTTGTAAAGAGTTAATAGATCATTTTGATTATTTTCCCTATTATGTATATACATCTTTAAACGAGAATAGTTACTTTATAAAACATTTCCGAAGGACTATTGAATCCATATGCTATTAGGTTTCCATTTCAGTAGAGTTGTAGCCCCCGAAATGGTGGAGAGGCATTGTCACTTGGTCTTGAAGGTAGTTAATTATGTCTATCTGAATGTTTGTGTCAACCTAGAAGGAAAAGCTTGTAGTACAAGTAGATCAATTTTTATGATTATTCATTTATATGTCGATCTTCCAAAATATTTGTTTAAACTTGTTCAACATCTAAATAAGCAAGCATAAAGCCTCACTTATGACCCCCACACCTTACTACTATATCAGTCTACTTGTTCTTGACCTTCGCTTACACTGGGTGATGTTGCCCAACCATGACACATATCTGTCCTCCTTTTGTTCAACTCAGGAGAAAGATGACCCTCTTTTCCACTCCTTTACTTCTTATTTATTCTAAAAAATCAAGCCTTGATTGCCCTATGAAATATATTGAAAATCTCCCCTTACCTGCGATTGAGAGTTAATGGGGGGAACGTATACAAAGTGCATTGGTTGTAACAAGATGATGTTATGAGGGGGAACACCGTTATAATCTGATTTGAAGTTGTTATATTTTTTTTTATTACAACTTATGAGTTATGACCTATGTTAGAATAATTTCATTATTCAAGTTATTCGCTTTATGTTTGTGCAATAAGTATACCTTTTTTTTGTTGTAATGAATCTTGCTACCTCCACTTTATGTTTGGTCAATAAGGACACAGTATTCTGTAACCCATCTGCAGTTAGACGAAGATAATTAGATTATGGGATGATTATAAACTTCTGTCTCCATTTGACTAAAAGTGGAGCAAGCTATAATAAGCTCATGCTGGCTGCTGAGCACATCTAGAATGGATTTTGATCTGACAGATACTTTGTTGGGATAGATTATTCTGTGCTGATGCTAAATGCAGCTCTACATCTGGATACCAACCAAAATGAGCCGCGTCAGCGATACTGAGCCTTGGTATCACTTGGTACCGAGGGATACCGAGCCACGGGGTTAGGTATCCGGACGGGTTCCGCTTCCGCACAGAATAATTTTTCCTTCGTTGGATAGGATTTTTTCCCCGATCTTTCATCCTTTTTTATTTTTATTTTTTTAATTTTTTTAATTTTATTATTATTATTATTATTATTATTATTATTATTATTATTATTATTTACGAGCTTTCATTCTTGATCAAATATTAAGCTGTCTAGAATGTTACAATTTAACAAATAATGTTATGCCGGTCCAGCTTGAACCGGCCCAACCTGGACCGGCCCAGCCGGTCCGGGTCTTCTCCAGGCGGAAACGGAACAGAGGGGAGGCGGAAGAGGGAAAGGGCCAAGGGGTGGGGTCCACTTGCAATTCAAA